GTCATGCCTTATGGTCACGTCTTTGTGGTGAGTGCTCGTATTGGTGGACCTCCCCTTGACATGTCGTTCCAGCCAGACCGTCTCCCAAGTCCTAGTCGTTTTGCTGATGCTTAGGTGTAGCAGGAGACATTTACCACCACTGTGACTGCAATAAACGCAACGACTGTCACCCTTCCAAGATGCAAATCCACGCCAGGTCCAACCAGCGTGACCACTCGCAATTGAAGTTGTAGGCTCTCAGTCTTCCTCGACACTAGTAAAAGGAGGGTGGCTGGAACGGACTAGGATTGACAGTGTTATCTGCTGGAGGAGACCCTGTGCAGTTCGGCCAGAATGGTCTTCAGCATCTCAAGGTTAAGTCCTGATGTGACATGCGCTGGGAGTCGGAAACGTGGTTTGACCGTCGGTCACCTGGGGCAGAACTATTCGGAACATTTGCTACAGCATAGTGCGATGGCCAACATGAAAGAGAAGAGCTAGACGTATTGTCTATCACACAAAAGATCCGCACTAATTCTTGGCTCTGACTATTTCCCACACGTATAGGCTCGAGACATACTACTTTCCCCCAGCAGCACAAGCACACGGTGTGCAGCACTCTCTCATTCAGGGGACCCAAAAGCCCGAGCTAGCCTGATCGAACACACCGTGTCCAAACGCTCGCCACACACATGGTCTAGGAATTCTTCGCCATGAGATTGATACCGCGACAGCGGGAAATGCGATGTTCGGTGTATCAAACATCGAGGTTGAGCAGTCAATTCACTCTCTGCCGGAGAACACTCTCCCGAGCCTAGAGCAAGTGGCCAGCATGTTGCCCAGGAAAGGCTGCGATCGTGGCTGCACGTTAAAGTCTCATCGGGCCAATATCTGGCAGATGCATGGTCAGCTTGGTCTTTTTGCTTTGTCGTCAGCCAACTAGACAACAATAGCTTCTCAGCCAATTTCTTCAAACGCTCGAAAGAAGGGCCAGCCATGCCAGCAATGACTTCGCTGTATCTCGGACCCGATTGAACCGAATGCTACCTCCCGACATCCACATGCCCTCTTTTTCTTTCCACTATGCCACTTTTCCCAACATCCCACAAACCTGCCCCGGGTTTGCGGAGTGCTCCAATCCCTGCCATCGTCCTTTTATGGGTCGATCCATGTCTCTCGTCTCTCGTGATGTTTGAGCAGGGCTGCGGGTTGTGGATGGATGGGGGTTTTTCTCGCCACAAAATGCTTTCTCGGCTCGGCATATATTGAAGCATTGACCTTTCCACCACGACCGCACACTGTCTATTCTGCAAAAACTCCCAGTCTCTGTGCTCGTGCTGTCGTCCATTCGAATCCAGCAAAGATGACGTTCTACAAGCGCAAGATCACCGTCTCAGACGGAGAAATCACAAACGCTGCCCATCTCACCCTGAGGCAGTCATTCTTGCCAAACTGCTTGGGTATGTCGATTCCCTACACAGTGTGTAACGCCCTGCAATGACTACGATGGTGATGGCACACCTGTCACGCTTGACCCAAGTCGAACTCGAAACCACATCCGACCCGTAGCTGCTGCTAACTGTGAATATCAGTCACCATTCTCTTCTTTCTATGGGGTTTTGCGTACGGACTTCTCGATGTGTTGAACAGTCATTTCCAGACCACGCTCAACATCACCGCTTCGAGATCTTCCGGGCTCCAAGCTGCTTACTTCGGAGCATATTTCCTCTGCCCCCTCACGATCTCGGGGTGGATTCTGCGAAGATTTGGTTTCCGGTGAGATGGTGCACATTCCCTGACATAGATGGTCAAACAGCTCATACAGAGTGATCAGGATCACCTTCATGACAGGTCTGGCGGTTCTGGCTGTCGGATGTCTTCTCTTCTGGCCGAGCGGGGTGAAGAAATCGTTTGGCGGATTCTGCGGCTCCATGTTCGTGGTCGGTGCCGGCCTCAGCACGCTCGAGACGGCGGCCGACCCGTTCCTGTCCATCTGTGGACCGCCCAGATACAGTGAGATCCGACTGAACCTGGCTCAGGCGGTGCAAGGTGTTGGGAGTTTTGTGGCTCCGTTGCTGGCAAGCAGGGTGTTTTTCGCTCACACTGGTATGACGACCTTCCTCGCAGTTGGTGCAGTGTGCGAGCGACTCACTGACGATCTTCAGTCGACACCAACCAGGGTCTCAAGAACGTGCAGTGGACATACCTAGGCGTTGCCGGGTTCGTGGGTGTCTTGATCGTTCTCTTCTTCTTGGCTCCGATGCCTGAAATCACGGTGAGTCTCGATCATGCTGTTGGCTCGCAGTTGTGGCTGACTTGTTGAACATAGGACGCCGATATGCACCATCAAGAACATGTCATTGCCGAATATAACCCTGGCCCGCTGCGCAAGCAGTACACTCTGTTCTTGGGCGTGTGGTCACAGTTCTGCTACGTGGGCGCTCAGGTCGCTGTTGCTGGATACTTTATGTAAGCCAAGGCCCTTTTCCCGTCGGCATCTGATTGTCCTGGAAGGAAAACAGGCAAACACTAACACAGTGGTCAGCAACTTTGTCAAAGAAACAGGTCGATCGGCCGCCAACGCCTCGGACCTCCTCGCAGCTGCGCAAGGAATCTACGCCGCCAACCGGTTCATTGCCGGGTTTTTGATGATGATCCCGGCCGTGAAGCCGCGATACATGCTCACCATCTACCTGGGCATGTGCTGCGTCATCTCGCTCATCGCGGGGCTCACGCGCGGCACGACCTCGGTGGCATTCCTCATGCTGGTCTTTGTCTTTGAGAGCTGCTGCTTCGCCACCATCTTCACCATGTCCCTCCGCGGGCTGGGCCGACACACCAAGCGTGGCGGCTCGTGGCTCGTGGCCGCCATCTCTGGGGGTACCGTCTGGCCCAGCATGACTGGTGCGGTTGTCACCCGCTACAACGCCCACGTCGCCATGTTCATCCCCATGACGGGCTACATCGTCGGCATGGTTTTCCCGATCTACGTCAATCTGTACCAGCGCGAGAGGATGGACACGCATCGTGCCACCGAGGTCGGCATCGTCGTGCCCAGTGAGAAGGAGCTCGAGCTCGAGAGGCAACAGAGTGTGGTAGGAGACGGGAAGCCTCAAGCGGTCGAGATTCGTGAGGACGCAGAGTTGAAGTGAGGAACCACCTCACCCATGTGCATGCCAGTCTAGGAAGTCGCATGCGGACGTTGGGTTGTCCTTGATTGTTCCGACGCCCCGTGCCATCGGCTATTCTCGCTGCGAGTCTCTAATCCCAGAGCAATGGAGATAGCCAGACGTCAGAATGGGTTGATGGAAAACTCGGTACAAAAGCACCACGCAAGTCGGGCCCCAAGTTTGATCTGTTTGTTCCGCTCTTGGCACCTTTGGGCACTTTGCCGCTCTTCAATCCCATGCCTCCTGAACCCCTGCTGCCCCTTTATCGAAACTTCCCTGTTGTCTACTCGTATACCTTTGGCGTGTTTTCCTCGCCTTGTGTCGCTTCGCGTGGCGTCGACTCCGTTTGTCTACTTCATTTCGCTTAGGGGGAAGAAGATATCAAGAGAACCGGCCGACTCGTTTCAAAATGTCTCATTTTTTTCAAGCCACAAGGGCCAAAGAGTGTAAGATTGTGAGCGCTCCCTCACTGAATTCTGATAGCTGGTTCATTTTGTTGTGCAAGGCTCAACACATGTATCGCATATGTCCTGGCCCTATGTGCCGAGTCTCCTCGTATAAGTTATGGCTGGATACGACATGAGAACCAGCGCCATGTGGTTGAAGGGAAGGAGCGGGGGGGAAGGGGAAAGACAGTGTTGACACAGAGCCATGACAGGCCGCATCATGTGCCGAGTACGAGGTATAACCACAAGGACAAGTATAAGTAGGGACTTGACCTATCTAAGTACCGAGTACTTAGGTATTCATTGGGTGCAAAGCTCGTTCGTCTGGTTGTATGTGTATGTTCTTGGTTCTTCTCCGGTCATGCTACGTCGAAAAAAAGCCTTCGACGAGCACAGGGTTACGAAGGCCGGTGCTCGCACTCACGAGTCGTCACTCAGCCATGCATGCGAGGCAACAGGATTCCAATACCAAGATATTTGCCTTTCTCGGGGACATAATAGGTGCCTAAGTGACGCACGGCTTTGCATACACAAGTAAACCAACAGCCCATATGGAAAGACGAGACTCGTCGATGAGGGCGGCATTCTCTCCGCTGACAGTCGAATCTGGTGGTCTTGAACTGGTGGGAGGTGGTCTTCATACTTGGACAAGTATATCGTCCGTCCGTGGCACCAGACTCTCATGATATTTGCATGCTTTATGCGGCATAGCGTGAATTTAAGATGCTGCTGCCACGGCTGCCCGATCTTTAACGCTTGACGTGGCACTCGCTTCTCCTAGTACGAACTACTATATTTTTCTGCTCTAACTTGGGCACTTCGAACTACAAATACCGTGTCGAAGAAATCTCTCAAAGTTCCCTGGAGATCAATCCTCTTTTTTTTTACAACGGTAATTGTAGCGGACTCGCGGAGTCCCCCGCGACTGTGTCTCCACAAGCTGTTGGCAAGGCTGAGACGCGGGTGGTCGGTGGCAGTGCAGTGCCGTTGATTCTCAGGGTCGGTCGCCTGTGGCTGTGTCCCTGCGCAATTAAATTCAGCCGCCCGACGATCAAACTGACAACATTATTCGACCCAGCCCCCCCTTTGCTTGGTTTGCGTCTTCGCCCATTCCAGGTCCAGGACGTGCAAATCAATCTAAACTAGCCAGACGACACGACACGGTCCCGCCCTTGCCAGCATCTCTCCCCAGCACCGGCGTCTGAAAACCGCTCGTAACGTAACACCTCCCCCGAGTCCTTTCAGCCGCCCAAGGCTGCGTCGAAGTCTGCTGCTCCTCCACAGTGACAAAGTCGGGGTGTATCACAACGATTCCTTTACCAGTCGACGCATTGAAGCCCCATTGGAGAGCGCACGCTTCTAGAAGCCCCGGCACCTTGAGGGCCGGTACAGTCGTCCGGTCAAGATGCTGTTACAAGAGGTGGTCATGGACAGCGACTCGAACCAGCCGCAAGAAATACACGAAAGGCACTCGGTCCCTCCCACAAAATTTTCCAGATCAGATGTCGCTTTCCCTCTGGTAACGCCCCGGAAGCGGGCTCCCTCTGTTGCTTCGGTCATCGACCTGGGCGTCGAGTCGTCACAGCCGGACGGACAGACGGTTGGTGTGGTGACCATTCGGGGGGCGACGTCGCCATCTGTAAACGGTGGAGATTCGTGTCGAGAAAAGGACAAGGAAATGTCTGGCGCCGGCAGTCCTAAACCTCACTCGTCGTCGCTGACTGACCTGCCGCTCGAAGTTCAAGGGAAAGTCCTCGACTTCATTTTCGGGGATATGCACTCCGTCTATGCTGGATCAACATCGCTGCGGGGCAAGAGCGTCTCGTCCCTGATGCGACATCCCCGGAGGAAAGCCGTTTCGGACCTTGCACTTGTGTCACCCACCTGGCGCGAAATGGTTCAAGAGCGCATCTATCGTCACATCAAGATCAAGGGCACTCGAGCAGGCGTGAAAGACTCCGAGGTATTCTTCAGCTCTCACCTGCATCTGAGAAAGCTTGTTCGGCACATTGAATTCTGGGTGCCTGTCTGGGGAGACAAGGCGCCCTTCCACGACCTTGCCGTCAACCCTCTGCTACCCAGGCCGGCGGAACGCAACAATGGCTCCTATCAACTTGCGCATCAAGCAAACGAGAGAGACCTGATTCCAGCCACCGACCTACTCAGCTTCAGCTTCAAACTATGCGCCTACTCGGCAACGCTGTCGGAGATTTTCGCCCACATCAACGGCTTCTTCCCCCACGCTCGTGTCTTCACACTCGAAGGCGGCCACTGCAAGAAGTCCAACATGATTCGGCACTTTCCAAAAACCCTGTTCCCCGACCCCAACCAGCGACTGGACAAACTACCAAATATACGCACCTTCGCCATGCGAGGTGCTTGGAATATCATGCGGAACTATCAACATTGGAAGACAATCGAAGACGCTCTGCCGAATGTTGAGGAGTGGCATTGCGGTTATGCGAGACCTCGGGTCGAAGCGGACCTCACGATCAATGAAATCCTGACGTACCTCCCGCCTAGACTCCGCCATGTCAACATCTCCCTTGATGGCATGTACAGCAAAGACACAACCTTAGGCTCAAGCTTTGGTACCGGGTCGAGTAACCTGAAAACACATCTCTGCGACCACCTAGGCCCTGTCCTGCCGCAACTCGAGTCGCTCTCATTCACGGGAAAGATTTGCGAGTGTCTGTGGACCAGTGCTTTGTCTGCACTCTCTTCTCAACCGGCCACCGCAGCGCCTCCAAGGCTCAAATATCTCGAAATAGTGGTCAAGGCATGTTGTCGTCAACGAACCATGGGCACCGACCCTACTACGGGAGAACCACTCATTCATGAACTGGGTGGTATCATCGCCGACGGTGCTGGCATCACAAATCTAGTCTTCATCAAGGCTTTTGAACGCCTTGTCCTCAACACCATCGAAGCCCTGCCCTTCTTTCCGAATTTGGAGTATGTGAGAATCCGATATATCGACTTGGATTCCCCTTGCACGTTGCTGAACCCGTACTGGCTTCTGGAAAAGGGCCAGGTGTATGGCGTTTGGAACGAGGAGATCGTCGAGAGGCTGAGTGAGTTGATGCCTGACATCGAATACGTGGAGCTGGGTGAGGGGATAGAGTGTGCACCAACTTACCACAAGCGATCAAGTTCTTCCAATCCTCCCTCAACCGGGGTGGGAGGTCCGCCTCCTGATGGTGGACTCGGACCGGCAACGCCCCCGGGGGTTATACTACCTAGCAGTCTTTATCCAAAGTGGAAGCCACGGAGCATCAAGACGAGCAGCTATAAAATCATTGCCGATGCGAGGGGGGGTTGATCGATGCTTTGTTTTTCCCGCTGTCTTTCCGTATAGCACCAGAGGAGCGTGACGGCCTTTCCAACAGCCTCGAGAACATTATAAGGAAGTTTGAGGAAGACGGGGCCTTGTGCATCCTCCACTATTGTCGACCACGAAGTCTAATGTTTGCATATTCTGGACGGATGGACGGAATGGTCAGCAAATGATTGATCACATGCATACGAGCCTGCCGCGAGCTGTGTTTATGTATTGACGTGATGAGGAAATTCGACGGCAATGTGCGACAATCAGCGTATTGGGTTCGGGCGGGCCAAACGTCAAAGAAAAGTTTTCTTACTTGGGTCTGGAGCTATTTCTTGCTTGTCTGTGTCCAGCTGTCGTCGAATCTGCAATCGAGGTGTCTTTTGTTCATCATCTCTTGTCTGTTGTGCCGAGCAGGAGCACTAGCACTGGCGATTGTTTCTTCCTCTACCGTGTTGTTGGTGGTTGTCTGACGCTTTCCTCTTTGGCTTTTGGTTATCATCACGGCGCGGCTCAGCTTGTCTTGTCTTGTCTCGTCAGGAGAAAAGAGCGAGGCGGCAGCGAGGGAGGGGGGTCGCGCTTCTGGCTTCAACGAGTGTGTCGACCTTTTGGTCCGTGGAGTTTGCTGAATGTGTCTTGTCTGGTCCGGTCCGATCTGGTCCGGCCCGACTACAAGGATGTGATCTGATACTGTGTTTGCTGCGTGTTACGGGATTTTGGGCTAGCGAATGGAAACGGAATTGGGGAATGGGAAATGGAAATGGGCGGGTCTCTTTTGGATGGCAGATCAAATCCCAGAATTGAGCGAGCACCAGTGGGCGGGAAATACTTGTGGGAAGGCAGGCAGGAAAGGCAGGCGCACTTGAGGGTCATAATATTTCTTCAGAGGCAAGGTAACCCCCCAAAAGTTCAGATATATTTTCTTCAGATCCTCGCATCTCGGTCTCGTGCCGCTTTCTTTATAATTCGCTGGTGGTGACAATACTTGTACAATCCCTCTGTCCTTGGGGGGAAACCCTCTATTGTGTCGGTGCGTCGAGTCTATATGACCCAGATGCTGGCTGGGCTCAGTTGCTCTTCAACACTCGATCCCTCGGCCCCAAATGCACACTGGTCATGCCACTCGTATCGATACTGGCATTCCCGCGCGGCCTGTGGCCGGTTGGCTTGACTCTGAGGTCAGAGACGCTCGCAGAAGACCCCGTTCCAGGGACCGTTATTTCTGGGGCTGAGGCCTTGAACCCTCGTTGCACGGTAGCGCTCGCCTTCGAGGTTCCCGAGCCGTCGACAACGTCGCCCACCACAACCCCTAATATCCAGCAATTGATTCCGAAGAAGGCGAGGCTCGCGGCGAAAAGGCCGGGGACAAACGTGCTCTTCCCCAAGAACTCGAGTTGATAGCCCTGTTGTAGCCAGAGTGCTTGTCCGAGGACCCACAGGACTAATGCCGTCGTCCCCAGCATAGGTCGCGCAAGTAACGACGAGTTGGGGAGGTACAGGGGCAGAAAGATGAGGTACCAGAGGAAATACTGCGACGTGCAGACTTTGTTGAATGTCACAAAAGTGAGGGTCTGGGCCAACATCGTTGTTGGGAGATCGCGCTTTGCTAGGCCAAGAGGGATGAGGATCGTGGACAGGAGTAGTTGGGGAATGAAGGCGAACGACTCGAAGGAGATCGAGGAGCGCAGGTTGGCAACCGTTGGGTGCGCTGACTGCGCCGAGGAGAGGTAAAGAAGGGTATTGTACGGGGAGAAATTGTGGCGGTGATCGATGCGGGTCAAGTGATGGAGAAACGTGTGTTGGAGGAATGGAAAGCCGTAAATATTGTACATGAGGAGGTTGAGCGCAGCAAACGTTGATATCGACGTCAAAAGCAGCACAGTGCGGCTCCTGTTGATGAATTGCAAAACACTCTGCAATATATTGGTTGCGGACGGACTAGAAGGGGTTTCCAGCGCCCACAGCATGCTCGCTCCGTAAATGAAAGGGTATATTTTGAAGTGAACACACGTTCCCAGCAGTAGTCCTGACAGAATGGTTTTATTGGTCTCAAAGGCCCAGAGCAGAGCCATGACCAGAACGCAGAGGAGACCTTCACTGCTTCCGCGTGTACTGATGTTCGCGACCATCGGGTTCAGGAGCCACACCGCCGCATATTTCAGAGCCCGTTGCTCTTCCAGGCCTTGCCTCTTCAAAAGACGGAGAATGAGCCATCCTGCGATGAGATCAGACGAGGCAAACAGCGCCTTGCCGAAGTGGAACCACAGTCCTCCCCAGCTGGTGGGTAGCAGAATCCATGCTAGAAGGGGGGTGTATCGGTATGTGGCGCGATCGTATGGAGACGCATGTCTCGATACAGCGCGGGCGGCGTCTGTGAAGACGTAATAGTCAATGTCCGTATATTTCAGGGCAGAAACCGAGTCCTGGTATATGCCGTAGACGAGCAGGGCCGCCCGAAGGAGGAAGGCTGAGGTGAAGACGGCAGTCCGCGACGAGAGGAGGGAGTGGAAGAGTGAAGCCATGAGGCTGGCAGCATGCCTCGTGTTGCTCCTCGAGGACGAGGCAGGCTCAAGGTCAGGTGTCCCTTGTCAGGCTGAGGGCGTCGACGACTTGAACAGGTGTTGGTTCGTTCAGTCAAGAGGAATTCTGGATCGCAGTTTGATGTGCATTGGGGAATTTTGTACAAAGTCTCCGCAGGGTTGCCGCATTAGTGCCCTGCCCTTTGCCAGACGGACTGGCTTTTTGTCAGAGCCTTGGATGGCTGGACTTCAGACACAGTTAACTCACCTGCACCAGTTAGGAGACCAGCACCAGAAAATACACTGTTCAGATATCTTCACAGAGACCGTCAACTCGAACTCGACACAACATAACGCTGGACATTTCTTAAAGCAGCAAGAGAAGCCGGTGCTTCAGTAGTATTTTTCGTCACCCGCTTCTGAACCAGGTGGGTGTCCCTGTTCGCCCTCGCAATCTCAAAGGTTCATCATGGCAGGGGTGAAAAGAAGGCACGACGGAATGGTAGAGAATGAGTCGTCTCAGTCCGAGACGAAGTCACCATATCTCCCCGTGTTCGAAGCATTCCGGGCCCAACTCGACGAGCACCATGACCGCAGAGAAAGGATCATCAAAGTGTCGAGGGACGTGACGGCGCAGAGTAAAAAGATGTGAGTTTGATGCACTTGTGTTTCGTCGTTCTGTCTCTAATCAAAGTGTCGGCAGTATATTTGCATTGCAAAGGTGAGACAACAATGACCCGCACTACCGATGGACAAGCAGCTCACAGCTACAACCCGCAGAGTTCGCGAGCTAGGCAAACCGATACATGCTTCGACATCGAAGCAAACGACGCCCATGTATGCCACCATCAGAACCTTGTTACAGAGCGTCGTTCCAGACCTTCAAGGCAGCAACGCGTATCGCTACCGCGCCAATATCAGTGCTGGGCTCCAAGAGTTCATGGAAGCCGTCATTTTTCAGCACTACCTGGAGACTCAACAGGTCATGAGTTTTGAGGATGCTCGGACCCAGCTCCCAAACGGCATCTCACTCACTTACGACGACTATGCACTTGGGCTGTTCGACATGACGGGTGAATTGATGCGTTTCGCCATCACCTACATGGCCACAAACGGGCAATTGCCTGGGATAGCAAGAGGAGCAGAGCCATCTCACAAGTCCTCCATCCTGGTGGATATGCAAGATCTGCGCACCGCTTTCGAAGCGCTGGACGCGACTAAAGCCCACAGCCTATCCAGAGATTTTGACAACAAGCTCAAGACCACGAGACAGTCCGTGGAGAAGGTGGAGAACGGCGTATACCACATGATTGTGAGAGGAAAGGAGAGACCCAAAGGCTGGAAACCAGATTTTTCGTCCGCGGATGCAGGACGGGACAGCGGAGAAGCCGTGGAGAGTCATTGAAAAAGCGTCAATCCTCAGATCGCAGGATACCGTACTCTCATGTCCACTCAAATGCTGGGCTATCTCGAGAGCTACTGAAGCATTTGGCCGTCGGTCATCCACTGACTGATTTCCATGATACCCATCACCTTGTATATCAGAATCAAGCAAAACATCCAGTTACCCCAGACCCCTAGACCCTCTTGCTTCATGGCTTGGTCGGGTCTTCATCCGCCTCCAGAATACCCTCTTTGACCAGCTGTTCTGGCTTGGGCCGCTGTTGAATCTTATGCTCAAGACTGTCTGCTCGCATATGACGATCCAAGGCTTTCTGACTGGCTTGCAGCGCTGGCGCGGCGGTTGAGTCGGGAAGGATATTTCCTACAGCATGTGAGAATGGCGCCAACGCTCAGGATGGATTCAACTCATACGTTCCACCAGTTCGTCACGTTCTGGTCGCTTCTCGAGATGTTTTCTTAAATTGTCGGATTGTTGTTGACGCTCGAGTTCGTGCTGTTTCGCTTGTAGGGCCCTGTATACACAGTAAGGAACTGCACATGCCTCTCGAAGATCTGCCTGTAGACTCACGGGGCAGCATTGCTGTTAAGGAGGATGTTGCGATTCTTGAGGTCTTGAACATCGGGGCGCAGCTGCAAGTGCTTCTCGAGAGAGTTCCGGCGCTCAATGGGCGAGATGGGGCTTTCGTCGACCTTGAGGTCAGGCGTGTTATCTTCGTTCAGTGCGTTAGACATTGTTAATGGAAGTGAGCTTTCTCAACTGCGAAGAGGTTCAAGGGAAAGGCAAAGAAAGGACAGCGGGAGCAAGAGGGCTGAGTTTTGTCCAGTCTGACTGACGTCGCAGACCCTTTGTTCCCCGCGATTGGGTCTTGTTCTCACCTGCTATTACAATGACAATGGCCAAGCTTGGGTCTTGGAATGCCCTGCTGATCCCGCCAACTTCCATGTGCCACTGGCAGGCCACTGGTCAACTGCCCCGCGCTGGCCACCAGACCATCAGGGCCCCTCCACTATGGGCTTTAGGGAAAGGCCAAGCCGCCGAACTTTCAGCCCCCAATCTGTGCGGGATGAACCTAATAGGCACCGATGCCGCTAACGCTCATAGGCGCCTGGGACAATAGTCGTGTCGCGTCACAAAATTATTCACGCTGTAGCGCTTCCTGCGCAGTACATACATAGCCTTCACCATTGCATTGCTTGTTCTACCGGGTTCACCTCTCTCCTGAACCTCATACTCCGCCAGGAGCCCTCTTCGACGATGCTGCCACCATGTGGATCCTTGACACCAATGCCGATTTCTTTCAGGGCCGGCGAATGTGGCTCAGGCCAGGGCGGAGATACTTGTTTGGTCGAGTCAAGAAAGATGGCGTTATGATCGCTATCGATCACAAAACAGTCTCCAGACAACACTTCAATATCTCCGTTGACCCTGTCAAGGATGCCGACGTCGGTCAGATCCACACCCGAACGAAGATACGGATCGAAGACCACTCAAAGACGGGAACGTATGTCAACGGCGAGTTGATCAAGAAGAAAAGCCCAAAGAATGAGCAGGAGCCAAACCCTGTGCGAGAACTGAAGGACGCCGAGAATTCGATTCGGCCAGGGAGCTGCCCCTATGAGTTCACCGTCACATGGCAACCCTGCGTCTTCACCTTCAATCTACTCAAGAAAGAGATCAAGTCGGGAGTTCTCAAGACAAAGCAGGAAAGGGTGAGGGATCTGGACATCAAGGCGATTAGCGATTTTTCGTCTGAGAACACCACCCACGTCGTGGCCAGCAAGAGAAATACTGCCAAAGGTCTGTTGGCGCTGGTCAACGCCAAATACCTCGTGACAGAATCATACCTCGACGCCCTAGACTACGTTGCGAGTCCCGCCACTCTGAGCCAGGAGGTAAATCTCTCTCCGCTGGAAACCGACTTTGACAGTGCCTGGCCTCATCCGAAGGACCACCTTCCTCCCCCGGGAAAGGAACCCACGATCAGGCCTGCGGAATCATATCAACCGGATCCTACGCGAGTCAACGTATTTGAACATTACACCTTTGTCTTTGGCGATCAAACTCAATATGACACTCTGTTACCCGTCATAACAAGTGGGCATGGGAAAGCTGTACTATTCAAAGTGGTCAATTTTGAAACAACTAGTGAGGAGTTGATTCAATTCTTGCACAATGCCACCGGGAATAAAGCTGGCGACACTACAGCTGGGTCGAAAGGCGGAGTCATTCTGGTTCGATGGACTGGAAAGGAAGACGTTCAAGAATGGACGACTGCACTTGTCAACGAGACGGCTTTGAAGACGGACCAGCGGGCAATCGATCAATCCGAGTTTTTAGACGCTATTTTAGCAAATGACGCCGGACTTCTCAAACAGCCTATCCCGTTCGAAAGCACCAATGAAGGCGGAATTGCACCTCCACCGTCTGCAGTGAGTTCCCTTGTCACTGGCCAGGCCAGCGGGTCCTACACAAATGGCAGCAGTGGAACAGAGAATGAAAGTCGGCAAACCGCCCATGCGACAAAAGCGATAGGCAACGCAGCAGCGACGTCTCAACCTTCACAAACATCAGAACAGGATGTCTCACAAGTCAACGGCGCCAGAGGAGAGGATACGAGACCTCTCCCCGTCCCGAAAGTCTCGCAGCTGACCAAGTTCAAGAACTTTGACGATGGATTCGACCCCGACGCTGTCGCTGCTTATGAGGAAGACGAGGTTATTGAGGAAGCCGCATACATCTCCGAACCAGAAAGTCAAGCCAGGTCACCCATCGTCATCAAAGAAGAGCCACAGTCAACAACGAGGAAGCGACCTCGATCACCAACAGAGCAGCAACACGATACATTTGCAAAGGAAATGGACGATCTTCTCCCTGCAGCGACTGCGTTGAAGAGACGAAAGCTAGCGGAAGCAGCGGAGAACGGGCGCACTATTGAGGAGGACATTCAACCAGGTCCATTACCCGTGAAAAAGATCAAGGTGGAACGGGAAATTGACGTCCGCGAAGCCGCCAGAAAACAACGGCAAGAGAAGGAAGAAGCCGCTCGGAGAGAGGAAGAAGAACTTGAAGCCGGCCTGCCTGGGATTGAGGACAAGGCACCTGCCAATTTGGTTGACGTAGTCACAATTGATCTTCCAGTACGTGATAGTAGGTCGAAGGCGAACAACAGGGTCAACGATCGGCACGGACCAGACTGGGATCCCAAGTGGAATGGTCGCAAGAACTTCAAGGGCTTCCGTCGCAACGGCGAACCAGCTCAACGAAGATCTCACGCCAGCAAAGTCATCGTGCCACTGGTCGAAGTCCCGAACAAAACGGGTGGCTTAGGTGATCAATATTGGTCAAAGACAGAAGAAGAGCAGGAGCGCGAGAGGGAGAGGAAGCGTAGGGAGGACGCGAGAATCCAACGGACGACGCAGAGCCAGACCCAACCGTCGAGCAGGACCATCTCCGGCGAGGTCAACGGGAGATCGAGAACGCGGATTGTCTTGGACGATGACGACGAAGACATGGACGATTTGATCGGTCAGTCAGAGGAGGACGTGGAGAGCGCATCGATAGCTACGATGACCACAGGGATTTCTCGGCTGCAGAGGGAATCAGAGGACACTGCCGAGCATGAAATCGACCCCGGCACGCCGCGACGCACGCGTGCTGCAGATCGCACTCGACAGGCGAGCGAGAACGCGTCGGAAGCAGCGCGAGACGACGACACGCCGCCGAGAGCGACCCAATCGCAGAAGGGGAAGAGACCGGCGACCTCCAAGGCGGAAACGAGCAACCCGAAACGTCAAAAGACGTTACCTGTCCCCGTCACGAATGTGCGCGGGGACGACGGAAGCGAGGACGAGGACGACAGTGACGACATGAAATTCCGGTTTGGGACGAGAGCGCGCAGGGGCAGAGGGGGTGGGAGAGGGAGAGGGAGAGGCAGACTCGCTAGTTAGTTGGTTGGTTGATACCGGCGCTGAAGGGCACCTGGGAGGTGGGAGAAGGGATGATGCCAGATCCCTTTTATGTCTCTTGTAACATGTAACATGTACGTGTTCCTCAGGATTCGATTCGATCCAATACCAACAACATCTACGCCCAGGGTGCCGTCAAAGCCATTGACCACCAACAGAGCTTTTGGGCTATCTACTTGGCTAGATAGTATAACTCTGTTCGCAATACTGTTTGTGCCTCGTGGGTGCCTCGTACTAACCAGAGAGACGAGTTAAGGGTGTCGTGTCGCGAGGCTGGATACTCCTGAATTTGTCCCCCCCGCCTCACCTCACCTCACTGGTCAAGATCGAGACATGCGCCATTTTACGAGCTACGTGAATCCATTCTCTCAATTCAATCAATGAGAGCCACCTTCATTACGTACGTGCAAGTCATACTTTTATGCATCTTACAAAAAAAAGATCAATTCCTTTTTTTTTGGTGGTGGGAGGAAAACAAAATCGCCGCTCTGTTGTTCTACATACTGACCCGCGAATCCGTCCCCTTTTTCAGATCCTTCCGGGGTTTCACCGCCAATAAGTCGGACCCCGGCCCTTGAGATACGTCTCCCAGGCGCTGTCGAGCACGTCGACGACTTCCTGGGGGAGGGGCCCCTTTTCCAGGTCTTTGAGGTTGCTCTCGAGCTGTGACAGGGAGCTCACGCCGATGATGACGCCGTCGTTGCCGCCGTCCTTTGCGAATTTCAGGATCGAGTGGTGGATGCACCATCGCAGGGCGGTCTCGAGGAGGGTCAGGTTGTGTTTCTGGACGACGGGCTCGATCATCTGCAGGGCCTGGAAGGTCGAGTCGTGGAAATACCGCTCGCGGTACATCTATCTCACACAACACAGAGAGAGAGAGCGCGCGTCAGGGTCAAATTTTGGTGGTGGTGGGCAATACAGGACAGACTTTGGGGATACGTACCTTTCCCGAGTTGGCCACGGTCGCAAACCGTCCTTCACTGGGGATGTCGTTCTTCGACTTGTATTTGCCGCTGAACACGCCGCCGGCGAGCTACATGGGCCGTGTGAGTTCTTTGGCTGCCCTCGCAGAGCAAAGCAGGATTGATAAACTTACCGGATTGTAAACGACCAAGTCCAAGCCATACCTGCAAGAAATCCCCACGTCAGCTTGTTTTGTTGTTGCGACACCTCTTAAGATATTCAACTGTGATCCTCACTTTCGACAACACGGCACCAGTTCTGTCTCCATGTCCCGGGTGATCGCATTGTACATGGCCTGGTAGATGGTGGGTTTGACCCAACCTCGCTCGTTGGCAATGTTCCACACCTCGGCGACTTCCCACGACGCAAAGTTGCTGAGTCCCAATTGAACGAACTTGCCCTCCTTGAACATGTCGTTGCAGCACTGCAGGGTGTCTTTGAACGGCACGGAGCGGTCGGGGGCATGCAGGTAGAAGATGTCGACGCTGTCGGTCCCCAGCTCGGCCAAACTCTTCTCGAGACTGGCCCTCAGCTTCTCTGGGGAGTGGTCGCCCGGCTTCACGGGGAAACACTTGGTCGCCAGTGTCAACCCGCGGTCTTTCCATCTCGCCTCTTTCGTAAAGGCTTCTTGTCGCCCACCAATGTATGATCGCGCCGTGTCCACCTCGTTGTAGCCCTGGGATTGGAAATAGTCGAGGTTCTTGTTGTACTCTTCCAGACTCGTGACCCGGCCACCCTTGGACTCGGTCCCCGGCGGGCCAAACGTCATGAGGCCGAGGATGACGCGCGGCTTGTCGCTGTTTGTCATGGTGGATGTGACGAGGGGCATCTTTGCGGTCGTGGACGAGGGCGAGGGCGAGGGAGCTGGGGATATGTGACGGGTGACGGACGCTAAGCGGGCAGCGGCCGTCTGGGGTGACAGGGAGGTTTGAGAACGGGTGACGGCGGTGCGCAACATGAAAGTGACGACGAGGACTTTGTTCTTTTTGTAGGGCACTTGCGCTCAGGAGATAAAGTCGAAGCTTTTCCCCTGTGGTGACTTTTGCTTGCGCAACTTGCTATCGGCGACAATGGAAGATGACCGACCTACCCCGACACCACCGACGCCCTCCCCAGCATTATGTACATGACGCCATTGGATTTTCTCCAATTCTGGTTAACCACGAAAATTGATTGCTGTTGTGGTCGGCTTAACACGGCGCTTGTCTATGCTTTTTTCTTCTTTCTATCCAAGTGTTTGCCGGTGACACCATCATCCTAGAGATAACCTGACATTTGTGTCCAGCCACTCGCTGCCACCGAAACATCAGATCGTGCTTGTGCAGCTACATGCCATCCTAAGAGTACTTTATCTCCAAATTCTTTTCGCACCGGCACGGGCAGTGCCTTTCAGAGTACACGTATTCTAGCCTTTGAAAGTAACTCCTCTAACATTGCAGGTTGTAATCCTCCTTGATGATCTGGGCACTTTTTTCACCAATCATAAATACCGGTCCCTGCAGGTTAACATCGGGCAGCCGTGGGATGATACTAACGTCGCAGACTCGGAGGTTCTGCACTCCATAAACCCGCAACCGTGAATCCACGACACCGCCATCAGCCTCAGGGAGCATCTGGCAAGTCCCACTCGCATGCCAGTTCGGAATGGTGTTGGTCTTGATATAGTCGAAGATGGTATCGTCCGAGGCATTTGCGGGGATATTCGCGATTCCAGGTTGGACCTCGCCGTTATCGGGGCCGATGGTAAACTGTGCAATCGCCGGATGTGCAAGCAATTTTCTCAGGTCCTTAAACGCATTAATGGCCACGGCGCGATCGGTTTCGTTTGAATAGTAGTTGGGGTCGATGTTGGGTGCATCAAAAATCGACGCCGACTTGAGCGTCACGTTCCCGCGACTCAGAGCCACAAGCGGCGACGCCGTGAGTGAGATGTACGACAAATTGGCTTGGGGGACATAGTATGCAGACGAAGAGGCACCCCCGGTCGACGAAGTGCCGCCAGAGGACGGGAGGAAAGCCAGTCCGCTAGGGTAGAATTGGGATTCATACAAGAACTCGACGTGTGCTTGGTTGACAAGTCCCGCATCGAGCACAGCCTGCGCACCTATGGCTCGCAGGGTGGCATTCGACAACTGCTGAAAACCATTGGTGATTCCAGAAGGAGCAGTGTATGGCCCAGTCAGAGAATCGAGGAACTGCTGTTGCGCCGCTGCAAGTGTGGAATCGTTGACGGCCATGGAACTAGTCGAGGCGGTTTGCTGGACCAAGGCCATGATGCTGAAGACGCAGTGATCATTCAAGCTGTGTAGAATTAGAGCAGCCTCTAACCACAAGTATTTGGGGACACTTACTTCTGCCCTACATTCTCGTTGATGTACACAGGGTTGATCCCGTTTTGGCTCAACTGTCCGCTTGGCCCGATTCCCTGCGGAAACGTCAGAAATAGCCAGCGTTTCATCCACATTGACTGACCGAAATCATCAGAAGTTGAGGGCTGTTGAAGGCACCCATGGTCACAATGACCTCCTTGGTCGCATTGACACTGATAAACTGCCCAGTTGGCTCATCTGTAAAGGAGACGCCGGTTGCTCGTGATGTCCCATTGCGGCCTTTTGTAAACTGAATCGAGGTCACCGGCGCATAGTGGAGGACGTCGAGATTCGTGCGGTTTTGAATCGGCTTGTAGAAGGCGTCATAGCTCGAGCTGCGCCTGAGCCGGTGGTCAAAACATCCAGTACCTTGCTTGACCCCCGTGTTGTTGCCGCTGTTGAGTTCATTGACAATGGGGATGCCTATCGCCTCACTAGCGCGGATAAAGCCCACATTTGAATCGGGCACGAATCCCTGGAACGCAATCTGTAGCTCGCCATTGGAATAAGCAGAAGGATCCCAGGTCTGGAAGCTGTGGTCGAAGCTATCCTTGAAGTTGGGCGGGTTGAAATGGGTTTGCTATAACAGTCAGCCAGTTTGATCTGTGCAGTAACACGCCGACCACACCGACCTTGACGCTCAAAGGATATAAATCATCCCAGCCCCAGCCTGGGTTGCCTAGCTCGACCCAGTGATCGTAGACGCTGGCGCTGCCTCTTCCATAATATAACCCATTAATGATCGAACTCCCTCCGAGACCACGTCCTCCTAGTAGCACCAGTCAGCCAAACCTGAAGTCCAGATGGTGTGGAGGGACTCACGGTGGTAGGGAAGAATTCGATTGTTAAGGGTCGTTTGCGGCACAGTATAGTAATTGTAGTCGACCGCCGTACCTAGGGCAGTGAGTGAACAGCTTGAGAAGTGTTCAGACCTAGAATCTCACCAGCAAGATATTGATTTCCGCCGGGGTACATGTAGTTCGCAACAATTCCTGGTTCTGGACCTGCTTCTAGCACAAGCACACGGATGTTGGGACACTCCGTCAAACGATTTGCGATAACGAGGCCCGCTGTGCCACCTGCTTGAGGTTAGTCCAGCCGTTGTGCCACGCTGTGTATAGCTTGCCTCCAGCAATGATGAAGTCGTATGTATCTTGTATGGTCTGCCTCTTGATCTGTTTGATGGGCTTTGCGCAGGCAACACCTGCCAGAGCAGCAGTAATGATTGCCGAGAAATACATGGCACTTTCTTCAAGGGACGAGAAGATGGAGAGGTAAGCAATAGAGGCATATGCTAGGTAACAAAATCCTGTCGCATATATATCCCAAGGCACTCAGTGACCTGCACTCACCACTTCAGCACTGAGGTCCTTCTAGTTTATAAAGTGGTTTCATATCCACAGAGCTTCAGGCCTCGCGCCTCGTCAGCGCCCTGAAGATCGCCATTTCGGATTACCGTACGATTGGTTGCGTTTGATTCTTCGAATAGACAGCTGAGGGATTCTGTCGATCATCCTGGAATCAGTGCACAACAGGTCTATGCCTGCACGGAACATGTCCACCATGTCATATTATGCACAAGAAAGTCTCGTTATAGCGCAGGAATCTCTCACGGGCTTGTCGGAAGGATTGCTTAGCTTTAGCTTTGGG